GTCTAGGCCATCCTATTTCACTTTATTCTACTCGAAATCTAAAATACCGTGTCACCTTTGTAACCTAATCTTAGCTGGTCTACGTCGCCCCCTAATAAATCAAACAGTCTAGGAACCTAAAAGATTCTCTCTCTCTCTCTCTCTCTCTCTCTCTCTCTCTCTCTCTCTCTCTCTCTCTCTCTCTCTCTACTGACGTATTTTTATTTTCCTAGTGCTATGACCTAGAAGCCTGACAGCCAATTTATTCATCATTTTTTATTTATTTATTTCAAACTTTACTCATTCATAGCTCGTCTGCACGATCTAATATGCTACCAGTCTACGAGACAAAAGATCTAGTCTAGGCTATTCCACCTTGCTACCAGTTTACGAAACAAAAGATCTAGTCTAGGCTATTCCACCCTATTCTATGTGCTCTCTCTCTCTCTCTCTCTCTCTCTCTCTCTCTCTCTCTCTCTCTCTCTCTCTCTCTCTCACCACGTAAAGATTCCGTTTTCCAGGCTGCTGCAGCATTGTGTCCAYCTTCTCTCTTCCGTTTTCTGTGCTCTGCTGTTCTCTTCTCCACATTCGCTGCCCCGTTGTCCGCTCGCTGAACCAGCTTGAACTCCAGGCGTCTCACTGAAGCAGCTTGAACTCCAGACATCCAGACGTTCGCCAGCTCGAACAGCTGTGCCCCGACTACAGACCATGCCAGCCGCAAGCTCCTCAAGTGCTGCCGCCGCCACCAACCAGCGGGCAACCCCATATCATACCAACCAGGAACAGACCTGGCTAGGTCGCTCCGGCATATCGCCCCTCTGAGAGAGACCTGGATAGAAGGGAAACAGGTTCCATAGACAGCTCGCTGTCACTACAGCGATGTTCGAAAAGTTCAGGATAGTATCTTGGAAGAGACACTCCGCTGACCCTAACCGCACCACCTCTCCACGCCACATCCCTGGGACAAGTTCAGGTCACCCGTGCTCGGACTCACAGTCAAGCCCGACAGCTGTGTAACTCGCCTTCCCCACCGGGCATGACGATGGAACTCCGCGATGGCAAGCAAAAAAACCCTAAATGATAACGTGCTCGCGTCGCCGGATTCGAGTGCTACGGCGCCGCCTCCAACTTCGTCCTCCTCTTTTTACCTCTCACGATTTGGTTCCCCGTCGTACGGCTTCTGCGCGGGAGGAAAGTCACACTAAACTGCCGAGGGTTTGAAGGGTATTGCCACACCACTGGCGGAATGGGAAAAAGACAAAACCTGTGGCGTTTTTTTTTTTTTTTTTTCAAAAACCTATGGCGGTTGTGATACATGGTGCATTTTGCACATTCCCGGGGCAAGGTCCCACTTGCACGGATTAAGAGATTCTGGCCGTTGATCTTTGCAATCTACGGTCAATGTGGCTGAATTCGTGTAAGTGGGACCTAGCCCCGGGATTGGCTGGGCGAGGACCGAAATGAAAATAGAAGCTACATGGTGCATTTTGCAAAAACCTATGGCGGTTTCGATCTTAGAAGCACGCGGTTTTTTCCTGAGTAGTAAGGATAGAATACTGCCATAGATTTGCTTTGTAATTTTTCCTTTTTGGAGACTCCTTTATGGGACACTGGACCCGGTTTCCAGGAGCCTAAGCTGAGTATTGGCCTCAGCGAGCTTGTACCGGGTTGTTATGTAGGGGTGTGTTCCCGGGCCCCGGTGGTCTCATCTGGAATAAAAAGTACTACGTTTCTCCAAAAAATAAAAAAATAGAAGCTACACTTTTTAACTTTTTGTTTCCCTCAAATCTTTCATCATCTTTTTTTTTTTTTTTACGCGTGCCCCCGATACCACAAATAATGCCGTAGTAAATGAGGTCACTGCCCAGGGGCGTGCTGGCTGCTGACATTTTAGTACTTCAGTTGTAATTTCTGCCACTTTCGCGACGCCGGCTGACCGGGGGCAAGGTCCCACTTGCGCAAACTAGGAGATTGCGGCCGTTGATCTTTGCTATCTACGGTCAGTATCTCTTAATTCGTGCAAGTGGGACGGAGCCCCGGAAGACGCTGCGCAAGGATGACACGAATCAATCGAGAAACGGTCCAAAATTTGAAGGAAAAAAAAAAGGGGCAGATTTTGCGAGTATGGCCTGCGTCACAGAGAGAGAGAGAGAGAGAGAGAGAGAGAGAGAGAGAGAGAGAGAGAGACAAGGTGAAATGTCAATAGAGAGGTAGGTAGTTCGCGCTGCTCTAATTTCTGCGTGTGTGTGTGTGTGTGCGTGCGTGAGAGAGAGTCAAGCTGAAATGCCAAATTGTCAATAAAAAGGTAGGTAGTTCGCGCATCTATAATTTTTGTGTGTGTGTGTGTGTGTGTGTGTGCGCGTGTGACAGAGTCAGTTTGCGCCACGCGGACATAGATAGTTAGCGCTTCGCGAATTTCAGTGTGTGTGTGTGTGTGTCTGTGTGTGTGAGAGAGACACACAGAGAGAGAGCGAGAGAGAGAGAGAGAGAGAGAGAGAGAGAGAGAGAGAGAGAGTCAAGCTGAAATGTCGATAGAGAAATAGGTATTTAGCGCTTCGCCAATTTCTTCGTCTCTGTCCGCGCACCGCGGCGCACGCAAATTGACCCCCGTTACTTTCTGAGTTTTGGCGTACACACCCAAGTGGAGGGAGAAGGTAGGTAGTGCTTAGTCAATTTCTTCCATCCCTTTTTTTTGGTCGAGATTTTCCTCTCGCGCCTGGAGAACCCTGAAATCCCAGTTTCTCCGGAGAGGCACGATAGACAGAGGTAGAGAGCACAAGCGCGCGCGCGCACACATTTCCGCACACGCACACGCACACACACACACACACACACACACACACACACACACAGAGAGAGGGAGAGAGAGAGAGAGAGAGAGAGAGAGAGAGAGAGAGAGGCGGAAGAGTTGTGTGTGTGTGCGAGAGAGAGAAAAAGAGAGCGAATGAGAGAGAGAGAGAGAGAGAGAGAGAGAGAGAGAGAGAGAGAGAGAGAGAGAGAGAGAGAGAGAGAGAGAGAGAGAGAGAGAGAGAGANGAGAGAGAGAGAGAGAGAGAGAGAGAGAGAGAGAGAGAGAGAGAGAGAGAGAGAGAGAGAGAGAGAGAGAGAGAGAGAGAGAGAGAGATCTTCGTTAGCATAATGGAGTGTAATAAGCTGCTAGACGGAGAAAAAGCCACAGAGTGAGAGCAAGAAGTTTGTAGTTATAATGTACCGTAGTAATAGAGGAGCATAGTCCGTCAATTACTGGTCTGCTTAATTCTCTTCGTCGTTGCAAGAATTGTTCTTTCTGTACGGACTTTTCGCCATTCGTTGAATAGTGTATATTATTCTTTTTGATTCTGACTTTAGAACATCCGTGGAAAAGCGTATGACGAGGCTAGGCTCTCGTACGCGTCGTTTCTGTTGTAGCTTGACGCTCAGGAGTCAGGCCACGAAGGGATGGCGGCGAGATTCTGCTGGGTCAGTGTGGGCAGCGATTCGAGTCGTGTTCGAGCTGCGTGTAGTTGTACTAGTAATGTCCTCAGTGCTCAAGAGTTTAGTTGTCCATCCCGACTCATCCGCACGTCAACGACGACGGCGATGCTGGTGTTGCTTTCGTTATTGCTCATTGGCGATGGACGACCGGTCGGCAGCGGGTCGTCTTTCTCGCAGTCGTCGGCGCGCTTTGTCGGTTCTGGAGCAGGACAAGGACGTCACCATGGAATTCGAGAAGAGAAGAGAGTACTTCAATCGGCCAACAATTGTGTTGGTTTGAAGATTCTCAACGACTCCCTTGTGTCTTGCAATACCCTCATCAAGTATGAGGTCACAGCCCCGTTCATCAAAGCTTCCAACGAGACGGCTATGGAGTGCCTGTCGGTGGCGCGCAACATCGTCTTGCACCCGAAAGGCACACAGTTCTTTTACATCCTCGATCAGATGTGCTCGACGGAGAGCACAAGCAGGCGGCGATTGTCGTTGTACGAGTCAGAGTTGGGCACGCAAGTTGTGGAGGGTAGGCTGATAACCACCTGGTGGCCCGGGTCTGATGGGCCGGGATCCCGTCTGCTCAACTTCACGTGCCTGGACTCCGGCTGCACGAAGCTCATGAACCTCGTGACGGGGATGGCTGTCTCGACGTCGGGATCGCAATTGATCTTGTCGGGATACTACAATTCGACTCCGCCGCGATCCTGGCTGACCACCCTCAGTACGGAGACGGGGGAAAGGGTTTCCGTCCCGCTGCTGAACGTGGAATTCGCCGGCGGCATCGCGATCAATCCCAACCTGACGAATCTAGTCGTCACCAATGGCTTGGTGCCTAGTCGTCACCAATGGCTTGGTGCCTCGGCCCCTTTCCCTCGATGAGAACGGAGATCTACGGCAGCAGCAGGGATCCTCCCATTTCTCACCCTCCGCTTTCTTCTTATTCGATCACTCTCTCGAGTGGGAGACGTCATCCATTTATTTTGGACCTTACAGTTTTGCTAGCGATGGCAGGTGCTTGTACTTCGTCGATCGCAATCCCGGCGGCAGCGTCTGGGCACTCGATCTCTCGTCGAATGTGGTCAATCTTGTCGCGGGAAGGGGATTTACCCCCAACCCTTCGCCGCAGATAGTACGGAGCAGTACTAGTAATTACAGCAGCAGCAGCGCAACCGGTAGCAGTAGTAGTAGCAAGATAGAGATGTCGAATGCTTTGAACGTGTCGTTCGGAAAGCCGTACGACCTCGCCGTGACGGAGGACGGTCTGATGATCTTCGTGTCGGAGAGAGACACAGGTCTTGTGAAGCTCATTGAGCTCGACGCTCCATGTGGAGGCGGGCGCAGAGCCACCGAGATCACTAAGTACCTGCTCCGCCCTGGATCCGGCTTGACTGGGTTGGCCATTCGAAATGACCGCGGGCGCCTTGTTCTCCTTATAGGTACGGATGACGGACAAGTGTTCCATCTCAGCATTAACAGGTCAGCTCTCGAGCGCAGCAATTCTGGAACCTTCTCAGACCCGCTCTCTCCAAACCCTAACCCCGACATTCGATCCACTTTCTCCGCCTCTCCTCCTTCTCGCCCTTCTTCCACGCCAGATGGAAAAGACTCCAACATCCGTCGATTTGTAACCGTAGGCGGCGCTGTTTTGTTATTTGTATTGGTGGGTCTTGTTTATTATTTATGGCGACAGCACGCCCAAGCGGTCCTTATGCGCTATTATGACACACTCAACGGACTCAGAAAGTTTCGTTTGGAGACCTTAATTTCAGCGACGAACGATTTCCACAAAGATCGGCAACTTGGACGTGCTGGAGGCTTCGGCACGGTCTACTGGGGATCCCTGTCGGGCGAGGATGMCCGTGCGGGGGAGGTGTCGGTGGCGGTGAAGGACATGGAACTGCCGCTGAAGAACAAAAAGGAAAAGCAATTTAAAGCAGAGGTYAGCATTCTCAGTCAGGTACRTCACCCCAACATTTGCAAACTGAATGGCTTCTGCGTAGCAGAGAGTCGTCGCATTTTAGTATACGAGTACAAGGAGGGAGGGAGCTTATATGATAGACTATCTGTAGGACGTGAAGATCGACGGAAGAACGAAAAGAACGACAAGAGGGAAGAGCGAGAAGAGGGAGTAGTAGTAGTAGGAGGAGGAGAAGGAGGAGGAGGAGGAGGAAGAGGAAAAGCAGGAGGGGAAGAAATACATCAGGCAGGAGGAGGAGGAGGAGGAGGAGGAGGAGGTGGAGACGCCGTGAACAGGGCTCTTCATTACCTTCATGACGAGGCTAATCCGCATATTATTCATGGGGATGTAAAGAGCCGAAACGTGTTGTTGGAAGGAGGAAGTGGGAGAGAGTTAAAGGCATGCCTAGCGGATTTCGGTTTGGCCAGAGTGCTCGACGATAGTCTGCTAACGAAAGCCAAGACTACACGGCATTACCTGTTGTACGGAACGCCTAGCTACTTGGCGCCCGAGTACCTGGGGCGGGGAAAGCTGTCGAGGAAGATCGACGTCTACGGCTTTGGAGTTCTGGTGTTGGAATTGCTCACGGGGAGACCTGCGGTAATTCACGGCCGACGCCTTGTTGATGACCAGAGGAAGCACTTAGACCGTCCGGATGAAGTCGATATGGAGGAGGTTGTTGATCCTTCTATTCGAGGGGAATTGAACCATCCTGTGATGACCAAAATCGCAAGAGATATGCTACGCGTAGCTTCCCGTTGTGTGATCGAGGACGAGCAAGAAAGGCCAGACATCAAAGACGTGACTTTGGCCATAGAGAGAATTCTTGAGGATATTTAAGAAAAAAATAAAAAAAACTGCCAGGACTCACGGATACACGTTTTCTTAGTTGCCGTCGTTGGCTTTGGACATAGAGAGGGTTCTAGATGATAGACTCTGAGAACGCTAGATCAACTCTAGAAGATTTTCTAGAGTGACACTAGAGTAGTGGAGCGAGACCCTAAGTGTTCATGGATCAGTGGATCACCCACACTTTCCTTTTTTTTTCCTGTTTAGGAAAGCGCGACGGCCGTGCGATGTCAACGTCCAACTGACCTTTGCCACAGTGTAAAAATGGCGAATTCTTTTACTCATCTGAGCCGATTGTGACTTGAACAGGCCCAACAGGTTTTTTTTTTTAGCAGTTCATGGGTGTGCCAACTGAGCTATACAGTCTGCTAAACCCGTTGGTAGGCGCCGCTGGCCTTTCGCTCAAAGGGCAGGGGCTCTGTGCCTGGCAAGCAGTGGCAACAAGATCGAGCTTTCAGAGAGTCGTTCACATTAGTTGATTGCAAATTTGCAATAGCGGAGCCGCTGGAGTTAGGGGAATGGCTGTAACGCTGGCTTTGGTGTAGCAGACTACGAGCATGTATGGCGAGACGCCTGCCAAGTTGTGTCAACAAGATACAAGTATGAGGGAATCACGTGGAGTTTTTTTTTGTCCGTTATATTGTACACCGACCTGTCATGATGTTTATAAATCTTGCATAACTTTGGATCAATTATAAGTTAATAGAGGGGTAATGGCAGAAATAGCGCGTTTTCCAGGTTTCCCAGGGGAAATATTGTCGGGGTCTGAAAGATGTATTTTTGCAACGAAAGTGGGACACTGTCCCAGTTGACTCCCCAAGTAGTTTTGCTATGAAACCACCGGGACCTGTAAACAGTGTAAAGCTGCAACGAAAGATGTATTTTTGCAAAGAAACTTGCGCCCCTTCACTAATTTGGCTGTGAAACTACCGCCAACGCTCTATTTTGGAACTGGCCCTATTGTAGATGACATGTATATGCATACAGGAGAGAGAGAGAGAGAGAGAGAGAGAGAGAGAGAGAGAGAGAGAGAGAGAGAGAGAGAGAGAGAGAGAGAGAGAGAGAGAGCTGGGGCTTAGTTCAGTGTAAGTTGGTTCTACTTTCTCGTCGTTCGCGAGTCTCAGATCGGGAGCTCTGAGAGGGCTTGGGGTTTGATTCGATGTAAACTGGTTCTACTTCAGTAGAACTGTTCTACCCGCCTTAGTCTAACTTTTGTGTGTGTGTGTGTGTGTGTGTGTGTGTGTTTGTGTGTGTGTGTGTGTGTGTGTGTGTGTGTGTTTGTGTGTGTGTGTGTGAGAGAGAGAGAGAGAGAGAGAGAGAGAGAGTTGCAAAAGGTTTTGGGCTTAATTCCATGTGACGTGGTTTTCAAGTTCAGTGATGCCAAATTGCCAATGCAAGAACAACTGTGCTGTCATCTGGGATAGTGGAGTGAATTGGCGTTCTTGGGACAGTGGCCTTGTTGGCGGATCACGTTTTCTTTCGGGAGTAATAAGTCTCTGGCCCTCTGGGCGTTGATTTGATGCTCTTGTCAGAGAAACCAAATGAGTGTACAATTGCGTGCCTGTGTGATTGCTGTTCTATTTGCTATTCTGTGTGTGTAGTCATGTTCCCCATACAAGGGTTCACAAAAAGATCATGAATGTTTCAGACTGTTTTCGTTGGACTCTCACCAACCCATCAAAAGGTTAAACCCCGACAGTCTGCCCAGGATGCTTTTGACTGATGGATAGGACTATTAGGGAGTCACCACGTCGCCCCGAGTGTCTGTGTGTGTGTGGGTGGGTGGGTGGGTGGTGCTGTGTGTGCAGACAGTCACTTCGATGTAGCTCCAGTACACAACAAGTGTACTCGGCCCGGCGACCCCCAAGGAGAGAGAGACCCATCCAATTGACAATTTGAAGACCATTCTGAG